GGGACTACAAACGGGTTTTAGGAAGGCCTACTGCACCATTTGTAAGAATAGAGGCAACAAGAACATAGGGCACTGGTGAATCGCCAACATCACTGCGTCGACTGGTCTACACACCTGTTCCCCCGACTATTCGCTGTCAACATCCTTGAGATGATAGGATTTGCTGCTAACAAATATTGGGCGGAGGATAGGGAAGTTGCATAGGATCAGAGGTACGAGAGAGGGAGCTAAGGAGAGGTTAAACTACGAAGCAGGTTCAGAGCACTTTGACAAACGAAATGAATGCCGTTTTCGATTCCCAGTATAACTGATTTCTGGCCTACACTGTGATTATTCAGCCACTACTTCCTGCTGCCTTAACGAACAATCTGTTCAATAAAAGCACACAACACTTAAAAATGTAATATCCGTGAAGTAGGCAATGAGTCGTAAAAGTACATTTCTGCCATCCGTGGCGTGCTGGATTTCTGTGCTCAAATCGAGGTGAAGTCGACTGCACCGCACTGGAAGGCCTGCTTGCAAAGCTCACGATGAACGGGATTTGCAAAAAGTATTCGAGCCTGTCTACATGGACTGTGGAAGCATTTATGGGCACGTAGTAGAGCGAATGTTGCAATGTGTAGTAGTAATTGAAGCGATAACTGGGCAAAGTGGCTGTATGCTCAGAAGTACTAAGTGGCCGGAGAGATCACGCCGCTTTCTCTTTGTTAAAACAAAAGATCTAGAGGCAAAAATGGTAGTAATGATGGGTTGATGGATTGTGAAGCATACTCAGCCACATTTACACACTCGATTGATTTCAGTGCATACTCTCATGGAAACATACAACTGCCTTGATGCCTTGCAGCTCGGAAGCAGCTGTTGAGTTAATAATCTCAATAAGGAGGCATCGACTATAAGTTGGACACTGTGTGCCACTACCGTTCTTCCTGCTATTTGGTCTGTAACCAAAGGGGAAAACAAGTACAATGGTAGATATAGTTCGCCTATCTGAGTAGTAATTGGCTGTCCAAGGCTTGTCATGCTACGCATTCGGTTGAGCTTAGTCGACAATGAGACATGCCAACAATGGGCATTCCTGCAAGTGCCATGGACGCCCTTCAAAGATGG